TTGCAAAGTGTATCATAATATGCACTTTAAAAAGCTACATTCACAGTTTTATAATGCTCCACCCAGCTCTGTTCTACTTTACTGATCATCACCCCACTGGTCCTCTCCTCTCCCCTCTCACTTAGCTGCTAGATTAGCCGCTAGCCTACCCAAGTAGGCATTAGCCTACTAACAAGACTTTCTGTCCTTAACTTGCCAAGCCTGAAGTTTAAAAGGCATTTCAAGAAAGGGGCATTTTAAAAAAATGGATCCCCAGATGCTTAGGCCCGGCCAGGGAGTCACTTAAAACCTGGTGGAAACCCTGATATGCAATGCTAACCCAAACTTTTAACTTTACTTGCAGCTTTGAAAAGCTATCCCACAAGACGTAGTGAGGTAGCTCCTCCTTAAACATGCAATAGGCATCTCTATAATAATAGAAGGCTTAGAAGAGGGCCCAGTTGAGTGTTTTAGCAACGCTTTGTCTCCAAAGGGCACCTTTAGCACCGTGTTTTGGGCTCCCAATGGGGGCACTTTAGCACGTTGTTTTTCAAACAATGGGCCACACCCCCTTGCACGCCACTGGGTGTGGGGTCTGGTGTCGGTTGTTTCGTGGTGTGGTTGATGAGATTTGTAAACGCCCGACTACTTAAGTAGCATGGAGCTAAACAGTCCAAATAAAAATATCATTGCAGATAGTAACGTTATTCTAAATATGATGGTTAGTTATTTCACAGCGTTGATGAGGATGTGCGAGCGGAAGTTTTAATGACGTCTGGTCCTCAGAGAGCAACAAACTCTGGCTAAACATTTAAAGATGAGCTGTTCTCTGAGCTCTAATTAAAATCTCATAACTGCATCATTCAGTTGAGAATAAACACGATAAACTCTGACAGTCACGGACTGCGTTGATTACACTGTTTGCTGTGTTCTTTAATTGCACATTTAGTGTGACTGTATGTGTACATAGATGTATTTGAGGGGATGCACATACAGTTTGTGTCTGCTTTGCTGTGGCGGAGGAAGTGGGAGGAAGACGAGAGAGCTTCATCCCTTCAGTATAACCGTACTCTGTTTATCCCGTTTGTCTGGATTTTGATGGTAACTTTGTTAAAAAATAAAAATGTAGTTTGTGCTGCTGTAGATGTTTACAGGTTTATTCTGCTATAAGACCGTATGTTTGCACTGTATCTGTACAGGAAAGCAGCTTTGAGTCCGGTATATTTGGTTTTCGATGGTGGTCTGTTGAACCTGTAGCGCCGCAGTGACTCCTCGCCGCCTCCTGAGGACCTTCCACGTAGCGCCTCAAACCCCCCACGGTGTTTAACCCCCTCGTCGCTCTGATTGAGCCTCAATAAAAAGTTCAGTTTAACAAGCTGAGTCTGGGATTTCGTGCCGCATTGTCTCGGCTTTTATTCTCATTAAGCATGTGGGAGATGATTTCTTTTCTTTTGCTTCTGTGCAGAGCGCTGAAGTGGAATTACACCTCGGTGCTGCTTTTCTTTTGGGTGCTTTTATGGATCTCAGCTTTCTCCTGCAGCAGGGCGGCAGATTATTAATCAGATTCATAAATAATAAAAGATGGCAGCGAGGGCCCTGGGCACCGGGGCCACTGCTTCTTTCCACAGCGAGGAGAAATGATGGAGGATAAGTCAGAGAGAACAATATTAACACAAAGCCAGCTGGATTTATCCAGAGTCTGCTTACAGTCCACCTCAACGTCTTTATAAAACCGGAGCTTGTTAATATTCTGCCTGCAGCTCAGGACTGCGGGGGAAATTAGCATGAGGCTAATCTCTCTAATTCTCTGTGTGTTTAAGCTAATGGTGCTGCTAACCTGCTACCTGAGAGAAGGACTGTTAATGTTTCTGTCACAAGTGACCTCTGCAGTTATTCTCAAGAGTTTGCTGAAGGTATCTGAACCTGCACAGACTGTATGTATGGATTTTGTTCATTAATATACTCTTATTAACTTTACTTCTTCAGCTTTCTGAGCCAATAATGTTAGAGCGACTCTAGGTTTTGTCTTCTTCTGAAACCTGGAAATGAGTTCGCATTTTTGTACTTCTGGTTCCCTCTCCTTGAAGTCAGTGGGTTTTTTGAATGGGTTATTGGTTAGATGCCTGAAATAAGGTCTTTTTAAGTTTTTACGTGTTTGAAAAAAGATTGTTACTAACAACTTGGCTTGTTACGCCCTCTCAGATAACGAGGACCAAAGAAGTTGCAGGAGTCAAAGAAGAATAAACAACAACAATAGATACAGCGTCGGGGGCAGGCTCCGTTACGTTCTATGGTAGCTGCTCAGTGGTGCACAAAGTCAAAATGTTTTACAAATTACCCAGATCCTTCGCATCTTGTGGACCATAGAGCAAGTGCACAAGAGACTTCCACCAGCTGAACTGCTAACTTCCAGTTTAGCCCTACGCTAACTTGAGTCTAATCGTGCCGCTCTTCTACTCTTTCCAAATGTTAATCGAACCAAATGGATCAAATTCATATAGTATCGATTGTTTTTCCACAATGTAAGCTTATAGGAAAAAGTATTTTTGGGACAGTGTGTGTCACGTGATGGACGCCATTGCTATAGTTACACGTTTTGGCCATTTTGTAAAATTTGCTTCAAAACCCGGCACTTCCTGGTCTCAATGATTTAAGAAAGTACAGGCCAGTACAACCAGAAGACAGGAGAAAGACAGCCCTGGTTACCTCCACCACCATATCTACATCCACCACCTGCAGTAGAGTTTGTGGGTCGAGGATAGGACCATTAAAGGAGTGGACACCATCATCGGATTTCGATGGACAACTGAAGAGACGTCCAAGAATCCTCCAGGGTAGTTGTAAAGGTCTGTAAACACATCGCTGCGAGTAAGTCTAACATTTCCCAAGAAGAAACTGCCCAGTTTGCAAAAGCCAATGGAATAAAAGTCCTTGCCCCTCAAAAGGCAGGTCTTAGTCGTGGACCAAGTCCTCCTGAAGCCCTTCATCAACCCTGCGTTTCGTTGACCCGATAGATATTCCCATCCATGAGTGTGTGGTACCGTCAGTAAGCGGTCAAAGCCCCCAAGCTTCCACCTCATAAGTGGTTTGCATTTTGAATATTTGGTAAACAAGACCAAAGGAAAACAACCCAATAAGCCAAAAACCCCAAAAGAAGAGCATGTGGGAACTAAATGTGAGTTAAATACGTCAGAACGATTTGGAAAATGTTTCCAAATTAGTGAGCGTAAAAAGGTTTTTGGCGAAATTGATCAACTTTTTCTAATGTGCCACAAAACTTAAGCTAAAAGAAGCTAAATATCTCCTAATATCTCCTATCTCATCCATTGTTAAAATAAAAATAGTATTTATTGTAACGACCGCAAGGTCATTCATGGCTCTTTACTGAGTTAAGAAGCTTTTTGTGTGTGTTGTCACATTTCACAGCTGACTTCCTCTCTACATCT